ACACTTTTTTGCATAGCTGTAAAGACTCACAAGTAGAACTTAATTAAGTTAGGAGCCTCAAATGAAGACGGGGGCTCTGGTGCTATTAGACGTTTTGCCAAAACAATTTACCGCAGTGCTGGAACACATCCAGTGGAAGTATTCCCTCGGTGATCCATGTTTCATATGGAAGCTGACTCATGAGGCTAGGAGCTGGTAGGAAGCAAAGACTCTAAAGGATGCTGCCAGGCTCTCAACTGCAGCAGCTAGCAAAATAGGAGTAGGGATTCCTATGCAACAGAGAATGAAACTCTTCAGATCCATACCATGTCACAATCTCCCTTTGCAACCTTTGGCAGTAACTTTGGCTTTCTGTGAAAGACCTTCCAGATGTTCTCTTTGTACACCCACACTGAAACAAGACTTAGGATACGTGGGCAGTCTTAAGAACTATAAAGCAACTTTAACCCAACCTGGTGTCATCAAGATGTGTTGGAGTGCTTCTATCAGAATGCGATGGAAGGTGATGAGAGTTGTAATATATTCTCAAGATGTACCAGGAGTATATTTCCCAGGATAAAGGGATACATGAAGTTTATTTTGAATGCCTTCATCAACGCCTTGGAGTGAGAGAAAACTCGGAGTTCTGTCTGGGGCTTCCTGTTGTTGGTATGAGATAGTTGTACTTGAAGGAACAAGGACAGGTAGTGATAACAAATAGAATGATCAAAACATTGCCTCAAATAGAAAGTAATTAAAGTACCAATGAATTGGGCTGGACAAATCTCATCACTGGCAAGTCAGTACTGACTCATGTTAGAAGTGGGAATACTTGAAAATTTTGTTCCAGCTCTAGTTTTAAGCAAACTGACAAGAAGTGCCCCCTTGACAAACATGCAGAAAGCAATTGCACTTCAATTATTTCACTTTTTAGAATTGTATAGGTCTTGGTTCAGACCCAAGTGTGTTTAAAATGCATGTTTTATGTTAACATGTATACAAAACATGTATTTTGTAGAAAAATGTGAATTTTAATGCATTTTAAATTGCAAATGAATGCAGAAAGAAGACGGAACAGACTTTTGAAAGACACATGTAAAACTGACACAGAATGGAAATGGGCTAAGAGCTATTCCCAAAAAAATGGAGGAGGAGGAGTAGGGAAGAGTATGACACTGTATATTTTCAAAATATACTCCCAAGACTAAAATGATAAGAATTATTAATGGTTTGTTTGATGTTGAGCTGATCCATTTAAAACTTGGAAATTTGGGTGGTTATTATTTGACTTTAAACTTTGACCTGCCAAAGCCCTTTTTTAGAATTTGTCCTTCTTAAGCTGGACATTGGTCATGTTCCATCGGCCACTGTTCTTGCCCCTCTCACCTCTGCCCTTCAGCCTGACTTAGGCTTGAGCTCTTGGCTCCTGATTACGTGCCTTCCAGGTTTTGATTCTCAATTAACCCCATTTTGCCTCTGTGGTAGCATTCTGGTTAATGATGTGGCCATGCAACCCTTGTTCTGAATCCAGCATGAGTCATTTACTTTGAAGTGCTTCAGAAAGTGATTGGATCATGTGCATGTATAGGCTATGTTTAAATAGGCAGACCTCTGAAAATTAGTCCCATCACAGGGTTTAAGATCATGGTATCATGTTGCAGCTCATATTTCCTTTAGATTGTTTCCATGAATAAATCAGCTTCCAGTTCAGCCTACCAGTTGCCATACTGTCCTCCCTGTAACAAATTATTGTCTCTCTGCCAGCGAGTCACACATACGCGCACGCACACACACAGAGAGTGGGTGGAAGCGGGGGACAGAGAAAGAACATCCTCATAAAAGTACATAGACTGACCTTTCTGATCACTTGCCAAGCCCCAAACTCAGCACAGATGAGAGAGGCATATTTCTGGCTGTTATGGACACGTGGACCTATGTGCTTGTTAAAGGGTATAGTGGCCTATTCCGATCAAACGAAGTGCACAAATTGTCCGGATACTGGCCCACATTGCTCCCCCTGCTTGTTCTAAGAGCTGCACACTGAGACACCCATGAAGATGCACTTCCCTTGCCCCATGAATTCCAGCGTGGCATAGCAATGTGTTGGCAATGCTGCGCAGTTCAGTGGTGGATTAAATTTCTCCACAACTGGGAACACAGCCACTGCTCCCCTCTTCAGTGAAGGGAGAGAAGATGCTTCTACTGAGCTGTGGAGGATTTCAGGCCAATCTGGGACATGGTGCTAGAGCAGCTTATTTCTGTTTTATAATAGTGCCCTGAAGGATCAGTGATCATTGAGGCCTGGTAGTAATAACATCATTTTATTAGCTGTGCTGCTGAAATGCTTATAGGGATGGCTTTTTGTTGTCTTCTTTATCAGTTTTCTGGCCTGGTGCTTATAACCAATTCCTTATTACTTAAGAGTTTACAAATGAATGTGGAGAATAAATTGCATTCTATGTACTTGCAATGTCAATATAGCCCACTGGATTCACTACATGACTATTGCTATCAAAAACCCATTTCTTGCAGAAGCTGAAGTTTGCAGAAGCTTTGCAATTTCAGCTTTAACTCTAAAGTGACCAAACTAGCGGGCAGGGGGCAGGAAATAGAACAAAGATTAATATATTGAGATTTCTGCCCATTCTTTCATGAAATCTCTATGGATTAAAAATGTTCTGAACCTGACATGTTTTGTAATCTGGTGGGAGGAATTAGATAACCACATGAACGCAATTATTTGGAAGTGAGAAGTGGGAAGATGTGTGGGGAAGGTGTTTGTTTTCATCAAATTAAGCTTATACAAAGCAAAATATAAATGAAGTAAAGAGATGTTAAAAGTTCTGGTATGGTTGACATCTCATCAAAGAAAATAAAAAGGTTGGGGTTCTAGCAAACTATCCCAACATACATAGGCCATAGGTTACGCTATAATTTATTTAGCCAATAAGCTGCATCTAAGTAGATCAGTTTTATCAAGAACTGAAAATAAAGGATAAAGAAAATTCACTCTCGGTGGGGGAAATGATTGTGGACACACACACACACACAAAAGCCTTGCTTTGGGAATTAACAATATAGGCTTATATCTACTTAGCTAGAGTGGGCAACAGGTCTGCAACTACAAGCTACATTCATGCTAATACCTGAGTATGGTATTATGGCAATGGCATTTGTGGCATTTAACAGGAAATTACTTTCTTTGAGCAGAATTGTTAAGTCAACAGGCTGGCTTCGGTAAGTAGGGAGATTAGGTTATAGCCTGCTTTAAATATGATACTCAGTTCAGCATAGCTGTGAAAGACACTTCCAGAAGACTACAGGATGGTGTGAAAATGTGTACAAAGCATTTTGCTCTCTTTTAGACAAGTACAGTGAACATTTATGCCTCACCCCAAAATAAGACAAAAGAAGATAGATTTACCTGTACTGGTCTATAAATATAGATGCAATTTTAGAACTTGTAGTTGTTCATGTGTACCTCCAAGTCATCTCTGACTTATAGCAACCCTATAAATGAAAACCCTCCAAAATGATCATAAACAACCACCATAGCTTAAATGCAAATACAGCAGCTAGGTCCATATGACCGCTGGGGAAAGTGAGCCACGGTGGCTTGCAGGTCATACACTGTGTGAAGTGTCTGATTCTTGTCATGGCGTGTGGTCTGCTCTGTTGTCCAGGCCTGGTGAAGTTCATGGCAGGGGTGGTTTCAAAACCATCCCAGGACCCGTGTTGTGTCGCACGTTTCTGGGTTAGTTTAGAAGCCACCCCCTTGCTAGCACCTTGTTGAACTTGGATGCCATGCCCAGTCCTCTGCCAAGATACAAATTGTTGATGGCCAAGCTGGTTCCAACAGCCTTCGAACAGGCATGCCCCTTATGAAACAGGATACATGGTTACCCTAAGACAATCCATTAGATTGCCGTTCCGTTTTGTGGTCTTGGCTTTTGAAAAAGTCCTACTCTTTTTAACACGCTGTAGTGTCCTGGCACAAAATGATGTACTGAGCAAACTGGCCATGTGGGCTTGGAAGATCCCTGTAACACTGCAGCTTCCTCGTGCGCTGCTGTATTTCCTGCAGCTGTCATTGCAAACATAGTGCAATGGTGTGGAAATGCTTGACGTGATAGGTTTAAATGTTAGGAATGGTGTTGGAAAATGTCCCATGCAAAGGCTTCCTGGGGTTTAGCCGTGTGTGTCATAAGCTTCATTCATGTGGAACAAACTGCAGATAAAGCACTCTGTAAAGAATGTCCTGACAACCCCCTTCTTCTTTTCAACCCACCCCCAGGAAAGGTAAGGAAATAAAAGTGTTTAATCCTCCTTCCACAAGTTTCTGTACCCCTGAAACTGCTCTCCTTCTCACCCAGCTGTTTGTTTTGTCATTGGTTGGTTTACCAGAACACAGGTGGAGATGAAAGCAGTTTGGGATTATCCAGTTTCTTTCCTCCTGCTCTTCCCCACCCTGAGGTTGTTTTGCAAGACAGAAAGGGCAATTTGGGAACAATTTACTTGAAGGATCCGACCTTCTCTCCTCAGTCCATCCAGTCCTGGCCATTTTCTTACATTTTAGAAACATGCTTTGCTTGCTGTCCCATCAGCACAGGATCCCTCCTCTCTATTTTTTCAAGGCTAAAAGTAACATGTACACAGAGCCTACATGTGTTGAGGTGTATGAGGGTAACCCCTGTGCAGGTGGGAGTCCTAACATGAGAAGGTCAGGTGTCATGAGGGATCAGGGCCAGTGGACACAATTCACCAAATACACACTTGCACCACACACAACTGTACATGTTTTGCTATTGTCCACCCAAGCAAAAAAGACAGGCCTGCTCTAGCTTTAAAATTTTCCCAGAAGAAAGAGAAGTTTGGGAAAAGTTGCACCCACTGGAGCTACCATTTCTACCACACCTTTAAAGGTGAAGCATCCCTGCCTTCCTTTGCAATTGGCTACCTTGATCCTCAAAGTATGAGAAAACTGGAAACCATCCGATATAGATCCAAGAGAGAGAGAGAGTGGAGGGGAGTAGTCAAGATGTCAAAAAATTGTCTTAGTTTTAGGAAATTTCTTAAAGAATAAAACCAGGGATGGGGGTCACCCTCTTTTGATCTTTCTTTTTGGAACTGCTCTGATCCTCAACCTATTTAAGTGGTCTGCATGCCAGTTTAGTGGCACTGTCATCAATCATATGTGAATTATAGCAGTAGGTATAATGTCAGCCATTTGAAAGCTTCCAGGAATCAGACTCCGGCTCACTTTTATATGGTGCGTTTGTTGTGTAGGATGATTCCCAACAGGGTTGACAAAACTGTGTGTGTGATTTCTTTAAGAATCCAACAGACACTCAGAAATCAAGCTGCCAGTGAAGAACACACCCGCCTTTCCATTAGACAATTCTTCCCCATTAACAAACAGTGCTATATGCCTGACAAGTTCCTATTTGGTCTGTGCGGAGGAAATGTCAACAACATGAAGCAAACAAGCAAACACTGAGGACCAACAGTCGACTGAGACAGAAGTCAGAAAGGGCTGTCTGAAAATCTGGGAAATGACAAGAGGTGTTAGAGAGCAACCTTGGATACACTTTCTCCAGTGTCTGCTGATGGTTTTGTAGGAACCTCTTATTTTCAGATGGTGGCCTGGCAGCATCCTGATTCGTTGTTAAACCATCAAGTAATCCCATTCCCTTCCTCCAAATTTGCACACGCAAACTCATCTGAGGCTGGAGAAGAGACTAGGGCAGAGGGAAAGAACATGCGGCATTGAACTGTTGGCGTTTTGCAGTAGTGGAGACTTTGGCTCTCTTTGACATATTTTGGCTGAGCCAACTCAACACATTCCTGGGCATCAGAGTAACAGATGCCTTCTATAAGAAGAGTTTGTACCTCCTCCTTACTAGAGCAGCCATCTGCTTCATTTTAACCCTGGAACTTTTTGGTTCCTGTGACACCCGATCAAAGTGATGGCATTCTGGGAGCAGGGGAAGGAAGCTGGAGTGGCTGAGGATTAGATACAGCAGAGACATGGTAAAGTTTTGTTACTCCCCCTTATCATGTGAACTGTGGGAAGATGAGGAAACATAATGAACAACTCATGGCCAAAACAGAGCTCTAGTAATTGTGCCTTCTCCTGCCACCTCAGTTTTGCTCTAGTGTAAATATAAGGGTCTGATCCAGTTTGGGACCCAGGAATGAGGGGTGGGGAGCTAATAAGATCTGTAAAAGAGTTCCCTGCAGCTATCCTAGCAAACAAGTGAAATAAGGCAATGCTGCTACATAAGGGTTTAAAATTGTGCTTGCTTTAGCTCTCAGAAAAGTTTTTCATGCAAATGGTATTTTCTACAAGGCTACTAGAATCCCCTCCTTTTCTGCCATCTCTCTTTGTTCTGTTGGATCCATTCTTGTAACAACAAGTTAATTTAGGTCTGGAACTCTAGTTCACCCTGGAAGTGAACAAATGTTTGCATCCAAAATATTAAGATTTCTTTGGCAGTGGTGGGGGAGTTCCCCTGGAGGCTATAGTCATAAAAGAGTTGCCAAGCTGTTTTTAATTAGCTCAGAACGTATAGTGTGTGATGACATCATCTGTGACAATGTCATTTATTTGCATATTTATTTAATTGGGCTTTTTCAAGAATAGAATGCACATTTGTTTACCAGGTAAACCCAGAGATAACATATTGTGCAGGATGAACGGCAAAATTAAAAGTGAGAAAACTGCAGAAAAACAAACTTTATATATACTGAACCCATTCAAGTGAAACCCAGAGAAAGTCAATCCAAATCCCACTGCTTCAATCAAGGATGCCCAACAGACAGCCCTTGGACAGGAGCAATTCTCAAGGTAATTTTACCTGGTCCTGGGGAAAATTTAAGCATTGGATCACTAATTTCTGCTACATCCTTCTAATATCAAAAATAGTTTATAGCTTTAAGAGTCTCAGAGGCTTCTGTGTCTGACTTCAAGAAGTCAGGTTTGCTTATATTCTAAAGAAGGCTTATAGATTCAAATAGCTTCCAAAACCATTTAATGGATGCTTCTTTCTAAGGAGAGAACATTAATATCGTTATTGTGCATACAGAGCCTGCCTGGATCTGTTCTGGGTGCTTGCTCAGGAGAATGGGCAGGGGGTGCAAGGAAAACTTCCAGGAAAATTGTCTCCTGTCCTGTCCTCAGCATCTGCTGTAGGTCTTGCCTACTTCCCATGAATAATAGAGGCACAGAAGCTGATTGAAATTGAATCTGCTGAATGACTGTAGGCAGGGTAGCATCTTGAAAAATTCCTGCTGGCACTTCTGAAAAGCAAACTGTGTGGCAATGAGATAAGTGCATGGAGAGCTGTTGTACACAAATAGCACACTGCCAAACAAGGCTCCTGCGCCAATTCATTTTCAAGCAGCCTCCACACCATTTGCTGTTTATATTAAATTTGAAATGGGATTTAGCTACAAATAAGAGGTGTTCTGTATTTCATTTTCCTTGATGGAGGGAACATAAAGATGATGAAGTCAATAATGCTCTAGGACAGCCATTTTCAAATTTCTGTTCAATTTTAAACTCTTTTTTGGGTGGCTGGACAAATTGTTCTTTTTTCTGCATCAGTTTTCATCATTCATAGGATTGTAGTGTAAGTACAATTTCATCATCATCATCATCATCATCTCACTGTGCCATAGTTTGAAAATCTGTTTGCATTTCTGTTATAAATTTACAAAGTTTTTTAAAAATCTGGAATAAAAATAAAACTATTCACCTGTAAGTCCCCATACCTAGGCTAGTTGTACATCAAACAGTAGTGTGAATGGTAAGTCATTGCCAGGGAAGATTAAATATTTGCAAAGTTCCCTAAAATAATTGGAAGGAAGCAGAATATTTTTTGGTGAGCAAGGGGTTCCAGACCAGGCTTTTGTCATGTGATGCCCTGCCTCATTTTACAGTACTTCGTTTCAACCCTCCTGTATTTTCCTGCTGCTGCTTTTATCTCTTTTTTCCCTTACCACAGAAAATCTGTGAAAAAGAGACTGGGAAAATAGCTGTAAAATGCCTTCAGATTGGTAGCTGTAGCAGCCTTTCATCTGGAAGCACCTTGAGATTCACTCTGCTGCATACAACTGTGCTCACTTTGTGAAGAGTTCTCCAGCCAGACCAGAAGCAATTCAAACACATTGGGATGACTCAGAATGTGTGTGCCGCATCCAGACTTCCCTTCTTTTCCTAGCTTGCTGTGCCAACTGGTAAGGGAGGGAATTACCAAGGCACATGAATGAGAAGATTCTTCTAGTTCAAATGCCCTTCTTTCAGTCTCAGGATAGTGGTGGCCTGAACGTGGTCTCTGAGCTTCTCGTTCTCAAGTCCTCTGCTGACAAGCTCTAAGAGCAGTTGAGACCCGTTCCCTTGCTTGTTCTATAGCTCAGACAGCTACTGAGTCTGGACAGGGGTAGTATGCCATAGCATGCTGTAACCTGAAAGAAAACCTAATGTATCAAAAAAAAAAAAAAAAAAAGACGGAGTGGCAATGTGGCAAGAAGAAAAAGTCTGTGCACAAGATGTATAGGTCACTCTTTAAAGTGCAGTTTTTCACAGGCTGATCGTATGTAAAGTGGGTGCAGAGGAACTTGTGTCACATTAAGACCAGAGAGATCTGGGCTTCAAATCCAACTCAGCTATGGAATTCACTAGACAGTCTCACAGCATGGCCTACCTCACCAGATTGTTGTGAGGATGAAATGGGACAATTGCCCTGACCCTTACCCTAGGCACCTTAAAGGAAAAATACAAATGTAACTGATAATAATGGCTCAGGGGTAAACAATGTCTTTAAGCACAGACCTGCTCAGTTATATTTAGCAGTGTGGCATGATGTAAGTGCAACGGGTCAGAGCCTTCCACTTTCCAATTTCTGCCCCATAGTATGTACCCCCAAAGTCATCTCCCCACCAAGTGGGTCTCGAATACAGCAATGGGGGAAACACCCAGCTGCATTCTCTGGAAAGGGAAAATCCATGGTCAAGGAAGAGGATGCTAATCTAAATAAAATTTGCACATGCCATATAAATAGAAGCCATTTAGAAAGAATTGTTTGAAAGTGAAATCCAAGCCATCCTGCTATAAGGAGGAAGACCGGGGTGGCTGTGCTTGCTGAGTCTGTTGACCCGGCAGTACTGTGACAAAGGACAAGCAGGTTCTCAGGCTGCACCTTTTCCTTGCAGGCCTTTATCAGATTCGGAGTGGACAGACTTTCAAATGGAGGGTACTTCCTTCAAACAGAGCATGTCATCTGCCAGCTGTTCTAGTAGGGGGCCATCATCTGTGGAGTGGCCACCCTAAAGGGAGGATCTGCCTAGGAAAAGGGCTCCTTATCTGGAAGCCCCATCCAGAGGAAGTGAGGTGGGTGTTTACCAGGAGAAGGGCCTTTTCGGTTGTGGCACCCTGGCTGTAGAATGAGCTTCCCGAAGAGGTGCCCCTGACGCCTACTCTGTATTCTTTTCAGCACCAGCTGAAAACCTTTTTATTTTCCCAGTATTTCAACACTTAACTTTAAAACTCTAGTTTTAATATTGCTTTTTATCCTGCACCACTGCTATACCTCTGTGCTGATTCAGTTGCAATTGCTGTGATTTCAGCATCTTATGTTGATATTTTGTTGTCTGCATGTTTTTAACTTTTGTTAACCACCCACTGATGCAAAGCATGGGGTCTACCCTAAGATGTATCCACCCCATGAATTGCAACTGCAGATCCCATTTTCCATGTTAGACCTTTTAAAAGACAATAAGAATGCACTCTCCCATAAAGCACTGAGAAATTGAAGCTATATCTTGGTTAGGACTCCAGCATTGGGGCTCCTCATGCTGTCAGCACAGATTCTGGACTCCTGTCATAACATCCGGGTGCTGACTATCTGCTTTCATGCCTTTGTTGCCTTCTCGTGTTTATATGAGTCATAATCCTTGTTTCCCATGACAAAAACCTTCACATGAGAGACAGAGAGAAACATAAGATCACAAGCCAAACGCATTGTGAAACCATGTGAAGGCTGCAAAATCCTTGTGTTTGTCTAATATGTCGAATCAATACTAATTCAAAGAGCCTTTTAGTTTATCTCCCTAGAGATCTCTCCTGTTCTGTCTTATGATGGTGGCAGCACAGCCCATGTAGGGCATAGCTGGCCTTGAGAGCAGCAAGCTCCCCTCCAAGGCAAAATAATCTGTCAAAGGCTCTTTCTCTGCCATCTTCAGAAGGAGCTGAGGAGCAGAGAGGTAATGCTGAAAACTGTATCTCCCCGCACCCTCCCTACAGACTAAAATGTCAAGCAGGAATGTTTGCATTGGGCTGGGGCCATCATACCATTAACTAATCCAAATTATTTGTGGGGTGGGTAAAGAAAGGAGCCAGAGCCTTGCCTGTCGTAGCACTTTTCTGCTGAATAGGTCTTCTGCTCATGCATATAGACAGGGTGTTTCCTCCATAGAAAGCATCTGGAATCAACTGGCTGTTTAATTCCTATTATATTGCAACACACACGGAGAGAGACCTTTGATTAATAATGTTTTTGCACTTTCTTCAACCCTTAGGGCTCACTTTATGTCTGTATCTGCCAAAGTCTAGATTTCAGAAACAGTGAGCATCATGCATTGATGGGTTGTAGATGCACTTCCCAGCCAGAGCGCACAAGTAGGGTAGAAAAGCTCTCCCTCATCTTTCCCCCATTCAGCCTCATGATCTCACTGGTGAAAATTCAAGATGATGTATCAACAGACCCTGCTGCTTCCCCTGAGACTGTATTTCTAGCTGGGAATTTCCATAGTTTGGGAGTGAAAGAAACATCCTGCCAAAAACACAAGTCTCTTTTCCCCTCTGGGGCATGCCCCACAGTACATTGCTGCAGGCCAGCTATGTGGCCTCCGTCAGCTGCATGGACCTATAAAGGCTGTGGCACTGGTGTCCAATGCTCGGATAGGTCACCTGAACCCCTAAATAAAGGCTGCTTAATGAGAGCCAGAAGTGGTGTGGTGCAACTTGGGAGATCCAGGGTCTTGCCATTAAGTTTGCTGTGTGATTTTGGGCCTGTCACTGCCTGTCAGCCTAGCCTACCTCGTAGGTTTGTTGTGAAGCAGAAGTAAAATGTACTGAGAGGAAAAAAGGACTATGTGAACTAGCCAGGGTTCCTTGCAAGAGGAAGAAAGACAGGATATACATGCAACAAATTAACAGCAATGATTTAAAAATAATATGCCCTGAGAAGTGATGGTGGAACTCCCAGCAGCAACAAATAACAGTCATGAATATTGCATGTAGTGCATGTCAAGAGTTCAAACACAGCAGCTCACAATGTGAATCCTCATAGCATGCCAGCTACTTCTGATATTTAGCCATTCCCATGTGTGTCTTATTCTTGCCACAGCTGCTGTGGAATTTATTCGGTTCCATTTTTTGGGCCAGTCTTTGTCAGTTGTAAAAAACAGAATTCCCAAAGCACTAACTGTCCAGTTGCTGCATTTTGCACATGCTTGTAATTCAGCTCTCCTGCCTGAACTCTCCCCTCTTTCCCCGGGGATGAATGCCTGGGCAATATTTTCTCATGACTGCTTCTGTCCTCCACACGCACCAGTCTCCTCTATTCTGCTTCTTTTCATAGCAGAAGGAAAGGATCCAGGCCTGCCCCTTCTGTACTTCTAATCGCCAACAAAATCACATGAGTTGGATTCTATTCCAGTGGGAAGGGCAATGTAAAAAGCACACATGCTGAACGAAAACACATTTTCCCCACCACGCCTGTCCGGCCCTGCCTGTCCCTCGCAGGCACATGATTTCTAAACCCATCCAGTCCTCATAAACCTACATCAGTGGGCTTTTCTGACAGTGCAGTGGGCAAACACTGAATAAAGGTGAGCTGAGTGTTCAAGTTCCTAAGGAAATTTCTGGGAAGACATATATGTTAAAAACACAGAAGCTCTGTTCCCTAGGGATTCAAACCGAGTTGTCCAGGCAGGGCTCTCCAGTCTGCCCGCACCCCCTCCACACACACACTCCTTCATCACCATAAGAAAAAGCTGTAAGGGATGACCGATGACCCTGCAGCATCTGAAATGAGCTGCCAGATAGATCCCTTTCACCAAAGGAAAGCCCATCAGTCCCATCAACTACACATCTCTGTGTTGATCCAGGGATGTGTTCCCTAAGGAACTGTGCTTTCAGTCCTTATCTCAGAAACTGAATCATATAATGATTAAAAATGCACACCCATGTCTACACACCCCATTGAACTGAATGGGACTTACTTATGAGTCAATATGTATAGGGCTGCATTGCAAATAACTTGACTCAAGTTTACATTAGGAAGTTGGCAGTGATGCAAGGCAAAGTTGTCTGTAAAGATCGTTACTTGAAAGTAAAATGTACCGAAATGGCACTCGTTTCCATGGATATTGGTGTGCGATAGTGCCTAGTTAGCTTCTCTGAAGTCAGTGGAATTTACTCCCACATAATGTGTTTAGAAGCCTAAAGGTACAATCCTGTGTACGTTTAGACAGAAAAAGTCCGACCACCACCAGCGTGCCCCAGTCCACATGGCTTGCTAGGGAATGCTGGGGATTGTAGGCATTTGTTCTGTCTATGCATGCACAGGATTGCATCCTAAATCTGCTAAGTCCCCTCAGTCACCATGTGTGTTCTTCCCTTGAAGTGCATAAAAATGTTTGGGTACCAGGACTTGGAAGTCAGCCTCGGTGTGCGTGTGAACATTCAGTCCCTCCCTTCCAACATTCAGCTGGTTATGTCAACAGAGAAATCACTGCAGTCCTTCATCACAGACTTAAATTTTCCATTTCTCAGAAATGAAATTAATGTGTATTCCTTCCCTCTAACGGGAAAATAGCACCACAAGATTTTCTCAGCTATAAGAGTCTGCTGGAGAATGGAATCACCATTATTAATTATATCCAGGGTGTCTGAAACTCTGTGCCATCCCAAAACACTTTACAACTGTTAAACAGAACATCATATTAATGCTTTATATGCAGCATGAGTAGAATGAACAGATGATGTTTAGAAGAAGAAAGGTATATACTCTTTTCTCAACAGTAAAATTCACATCCTGGAATCTGTTTTCCATGCCCCACACACCCCTCCAAAGTTTTGATTATGTCTCCTCAATGAATCGGTATTGCCGTTGGTGAGACATCTGAAATGCTCGTCTTATTCCTGCTATAAGCTTAAGGGATTATGTGGGTGTGTGTGACACATGGGAGAAACGGGGGTTCTGTAAATTCTACTGCCATGGAAACAGCTTCAGCATTTTAACCACTACTGTCACATGCAAGCTTTCCCCCGACTCTCGTTTGTTTGACAGAACTTTTGTGACTGCCCAAAATAAAGCAGACGTTGAAGAACAACACATAAAGTACCTGCTGAAGGACAGGAAAGGGAAGGTAAATAGTAAAAGGTTGCATCTCACCATTGCTTTAGAAAAGGTGCTTTCAGGAGTGAGGCCATCTCTAAGTGAGACACCTGCCCAGGGCTTACCTGTTGCCACCTGCCCTTCCTCCTGCCTATGTATGTTTTAACTTCCAGGACTCTTCCTTCCCCCTTTCCTCCTCCTCTTCTTCCTCTTCCTCTTCCTCCTCCTCCTCACGCCAGTCCGGTTCTGATACAAATGAGCCTCCTCCAAGCTGTATGCGTTTTCTCTGGTTCTGTTCCTCAGAGATTCTCTCAGAGAGGGTGGGAGCAAAGGAAGGAGGAGAAAGTCACAACAATAACGTCTTTCTCTGGCAGCCAAACTCCTCAGCGTTTAATCCACACACGGGCTTGCTCACACACACACACACACTCACTCACTCACTCCTGCATGCCTGCCTGCTGAAAGACTCATGATGTGTAATAACATTTCCTTCTGCTGGGGCAAGAGAGCACCTCGCCTGTGTTATTAAACAAATCACATTTAAACAAAAACCTCTGGAGCTTTCACTCTCTATAAGCATGATGTTGATTCCTAACATTACTAGATTTGGTTTCAAAGCGGCTGCAGGGAGACGTCAGCAAGGCCCAAAGGGCAATAAATGGAATTCTTGAGTTTCCAAATGAATGGCAGTTGTGCATATGCCATGTGCCTTTCTAAGCGCAGCCACTTGCCTTTCCTTTCTGATCTTCCTTGTGCTACCATTATTAATATTGACAATGTCAGGATTTGCTTGCAGCTGTCAGAAGTGCCTTTGGCCGAGACCTTGTCAGTTTAAGGGTCAAAGGCTGCCGTGGGAGCCAGTTATAGGGGCAGTTAATGCCTAGATAAAAGGTGTGGGGGGCGAGAGTTAACCACAAAGATTACAATGCAATCCATCACTAAAAATAGCCCTGTGAATGCAGGCTGAGTAATGGGAATGGAGACACGGGGTCCCATTGTGGCTTTTCGGAGGAGAGAGAAGTTGGACTCCCTGGTTCTCACATCGTGGCAAAACACCCAGGGTTGGAGCCTGCAATGAGAGCACCTGGCCCCCATGCAGCAGATCCAGTCCCACTTACAAGGGCCCACATTTGTTAAAAATAATCTGCTTTACTGTGATAACTGACCTGAATTCAGTCCCATGCACCCTTGCATGGAAATGCGCCCTGCTGAAATTGAAAGGCCTTTACTTCTGAGTAAACAGAAGTAGGTTTATGAGCAAAAGTAAGGTCTGAGTTAACACTGCCCTGCAAATCACCCTGAGAAACAAGAGTAGGATTTTTCTAAGAGATCAGTGTTAGAAGTGACTGTATTCCACACTGAAGACCTTTGCAGATTATGGATTTTTCATATAATAAATGTTTAGTTGCCACTCATTTGCAGAACAGAACTCAGTCCACTTTTCTTCTAGCTATTCTTTTCATTGATTTTTATTGTGCAATATAATAAAACCCCAAGCCACATAAAAAGGGTGGGGAGCAACAAAACTGAAACATTACAATATTGAAGAACATGTTAAAAGTTCCATAGCATTATTTACATATATATTTATATCTCCATATGTTAGTATACAACAAGAGATATTACTGTCATTAAAATAATTATGCTTTGAGTCCAACAAATATTCAAGTATACATATATTTATCTGCATATTATGACAAAAGGCTACACATTCAAAAATCGAAATTCTCCACAAATTGCATTATTCCAGGTGACCATTCATTCTTCCAATGTTGTGATATTTTTTTTCTAGCTATGCTGGCGTTGTTCTAATTATAATACCTCCGTCCCACTCACCTACTGTGAGAGTTGCACTAAACTCAGAGGGAACAGGGAGATCCAAGAAAAGTGGCAGATGATGGCAGCATCCCTGCTGGTCTTGCATCCCTGTGAATCCTGACTCCACTACATCATCACCCGTCTTTTGGCTTGCACTAGGCTTACAAAGTGTTCACAGCAAAGAACAACACAGACACCAAAATATTACAACAATATTAAAATATTTACGGCAGTAACATAAATGTTATTTATTTGTTAACTTGTTTCTAGTGATTTTAACTGGTTCAACTGGTTTTATTGTTGTTTTTCAGTATTTTATTGTAAGCCGCCTGGAGAATCTCTCTGGATTAGTGGGCAGCATACAAATTTATAAATAAATAAAAACAAAGATACAGTCTATTTCAAAATTAGCAGCGCAACTGATAACTGAGTAATGAATAATTTAAGAGCAGCATAGCATATCATTTTACTCCCAGGCCATTTCAAATCAGTCCTTGATTAACCTTCCAAAAACAGGAGGAAGAGGCATGGCAAGCTGCTCTTGGGAGAGAATCCCAACACATCAGCCGCCATGTTGGATTTAAATAAAGAAGTCTGGGTAGCAATAAGAATTTCTTATCACAGTGAGTTCTTTGTCCACTTCTGGAAGTGAGAAGGAAGGGAAATGATGGGGTGGAAGACCTGAAAGGACCTTGTTGAACTGCATCTGTGAAGCTTAGAAACATGGTTAAGGATGGATTTGGGCAGTTGGAAAATGGAAAAAGACAGTCTCAGTAGGGAATGGAGATCCCATTTTTCAAGGTGAATCTCTGAATTGTTCCATTTATGTAAATATCAGAGGATGATAGAGTATATCACCCACTGTGCATGATTCTGTCCACATAAAGTAAAATGAAATGAGCAGGAGGTAAAACTCTTGTTATCACTTGTAACTTGTACTACCATGTAATTTGAAGCAAACATCAGTTTCCAGTAATACTAAATGTCCATGCTAGGAGAACCCTGCCACTTTAGAAATTATTTCAATAGAATTAATCTGGAATTATTTATAGCTATCCGTCCACTCTTTGTCAAATGCGTATTAGCGCACAGTGACACTCCATAAAATAAATGGATATCATATGCTCCAAAGTTGGATTGAGAATTTGATATGTCATTTTGCTTATGTGCTTGCTTTGTGTAGTTGAGTAGTCGGAAAATGTAGCCCAATTCGTTTGTGATACTGACTCAAATTCCACTTCTCACGAAGTTTTAGAAACATTGCTTGAAAAACACCCCAACTGGTTGCTTTGCCAATCTCTTTTTCCCCTGCCTGCAAGAAGAGCCAAGTCCTGAATTATACATCTTGGTGTATGATGCAACCTCAGTTAAATATTTTGAGGGTCGCTTGATTTGCTGCGGGGAAACACCCATGGTTCTGTCTAGTTGTCAGAAAACTATAGCAAGAATTGCAGCTGTGATTTACACAGGCAGCAAATGTGTCGCTACTCTTCAGACACCCATTTCGTACGCACGGAGCATTGCGCCACCAAAGCTGAATCATTTTCTGGACTCAGCCTGCTTTAGAGAAAACAGTCACTGTGACCCTGAACCCATGTGGAGCAATGCATAGGCCCTTCTGCCATTTTCACACTGTCCAGCATTTCAGTGGCCCTCATAAACATGAAGGGAAGGGAGACTAGACTGAAGACTGAGAAGCTGGAGTGCCAGTATCCAACTTTCTGCTCTGTCCACAGGCTGAGGCTCTTTGCTCCAGCATTTCCATAGCAAATATTCCTTCTTTGTAGTGTAAATAGCCCTTAATAATTGGAATGGGAGAACACGGACTGGCTGGTAGTGCAGAGCAGCTGGCTTCCTGAGAAAAGGGATTGCTTTGTCAATGATCTTTCTTCCCTTTCCTTTCCTTTTTTTATACATCATTTTCAAATCTAGCTCCCTGCCCCTAATGAGCTCTTTGGCACTTTCTCTACAAGGAAACTGAAATACATTCCTGTGGGATTGTTCATGCAGCTTTATATAACTGATGCCCCATTGGCTTAGATGATTTTCCCAAAGTACTGGCATGATCTCCTTCTATCAGCTCCTTTCCCTTCCTTCCCTTTAGGGCTAATTTTCAGCATGCTGCTGTAGGAGCTGGACCATGACTACCATTGGAAAGGTTTCTTTCACTGAGCTTGTGCAAACAAGTTCATGCTATCCAGTTTATGCTAAGCTCAGCTCATGGAAGATATGAAATAGCTGCTCATGGAAATCCTTCAGGCCAGCAGATTTAGGCCTACTAGATGTACACCCTGGTGAGATGAATTTACAATCAAGCAGGGCTTAGGGGAGTTTCTCTCTAATTTGTGGTGCAAGTGCTCCTGGAATTTCTCTTGGGAAGAGCCCCAATCCATCCATCAACAGTGTCAGCCAGGAAGGAAAGGCTGACATGAAGATAAGGGGACTGGTAGGAGAGGCTAAGCCAGGGGAGAAGAAGGCTGGCAAGATGGTGAAGCCAGAGTCTTGCCCTTCCTTGAGAGGAGCAAAATCTGTAGAGAGGGCGCCCCATGGATGTCCCCACTGAGATCACAAAGGAGGGTTTGGCAGCCCAGTTTCAGTCCTTAAAAAAGTCCAGCCATGGTGAGCCTCATGGAGAGGAGGGAAGCCTTTGCCAGTCACCACCCAAGGGCTACTATGGTGGTTCTGTAATGGCTGACAATGGCGATTACCTGCTAGCCACTTGGCCAGAGTGGGTCTGTAGATTATTTGTTTGACTGGGTTCAGGTGACACAAGCCATGTAAGGTAAAATGAACCCCACAACAGGTCATGGCTTGTTGGGGTTACTTAAAAGCCATCTAGGCCTCTTGCTTGGTTCAGATAAGATGCTAAGCGTCTGTGTCTTCATAGGCACAGTGGCTAAGCTTTTTGTGCAAACCCAGTCACACCACACACAACACCATAAGGCATGGTGGCCTATAAGCCAGGGATGATGTGTTGAGATAGCTGAGCCCAGAAGCATGGCTGCTTATCCATAACAAACCATCCCCAGTGTATAAGCCACCATGGCTAATGGAGTTGTGTGAGGAGCGAGCTCTGCCATGGCCTCCTTTTTTTCAGCATGGGAGGGCAGCAGTCCTGTGGCCAGGCAGGCAGGAACCCACAGCTGGAATCACACCTCTCTCTGCCTAATGAAAGGCCACCCTTGTATGCATTTCAGCAGCGAAGAACACATACCACATACTGAAGATCAGCTCACACAACCAATGGATGGAAAATATTGTGAGTAATAAAGTTATCAGGCCAGGCATATGCAAGGACTGCACATCATAGACTGGACAAAAGGGGGTTGCACATGTATATTAAAGATTCTGTATCTCTGATCCCCATGGCCTTTCTACCTGACCTTTGTGGTGGAAGGTCTTCAGGCATCTCTTTCACACACATGGCTTTTCCATCTGTCGGCTGTGTGAACAGGCACTTGAGCTGGAATGGGCTGTAACTGCTGCTGTTAATGCCCATAGTTTATCTGTGCTTTCCCAGCCATCAGGAGGTTTCTTGTCAGCAACTCTATTGCCTTGAACCAGACATTCTGCATTCAAATAACTCTGAAAAGTTCCCATGTGGCAGTCAAT